ATGTTTTAATGAAATGAATAAAAAATTTAAATAAAAAAAATAAAATATAAACTGAATTAAGTTAACCTCCGTAAATTAAAACACAAAACATGACATTCCAGAATATATTCCAAGAAATAAAATCAAGACAGCGGGGGATATTGTGTATTTTCCATTCACATTGCTACATYCTTTACCACCAACAAGTAACTATAACCTTCACAATAACCTTAAGTTGTTATAAAAATGCTGTAAAAATCAAAAATAAACTTGACATGGTTTGCATCATAGCCTATAAATACCTTGTAATTGGCTTCTGTCTCCTAAAAAAACTCCTACCATTTCAGACACTCCCACTATGGCACATCTTCACAGCAATGCTTTGGAGAAGGGGTGCTCTGTGGGGTRGGAGGTCAGCTGCAGACTGAGCTCCAGGGAGGAGCTATGCACAAAAAGGTGGAGCTTTGTGTCAGCAATTGTTTAGGCAGCTCCACGGGAGATTCAAGGATTTCTCAAACATGCATGAATGAGTCAGAGCAAYACTCTGGGTGTTTTTGATGAGGGAATGATATTATAGTAAAACATGATATAAAGCTAAAAAAGCCCATTTTGCATAATACCTGGGTATAATGGTGTGGTTTATTTATTAATTAATGTTGCTCCATTCTAAATCCAGGTTGATGTTTTGGACGTGAAGGCCCAGACGCCTTTGTTTACTGCTGTCAGTGGGAAACATCTGGACTGTGTGGTGGCCCTGCTGAAAGCCGGAGCCGACCCCAACGGCAGCCAGTACAACAACTGCTCCCCGGTACTGACTGCGGCCCGAGAGGGCGACGTGGAGGTGCTGCGAGAGCTGCTGCGCTTTGGAGCCGAGGTGGACGTCAGACCCAAAGTCCCCGATTGGGCCTCCAATGCCACGACCTGTAGGGGCCCCCTCTACATCTCCGCGGTTTACGGCCACCTCGACTGCTTTAAGCTGCTTCTTTTTCACGGGGCCAACCCCGACTACAACTGCACGGATGAGAAGATGCTGGCCCGGATCAAGCAGCCAAAGACAGTCCTGGAGGTGTGTCTCCGGTACGGCTGCGGAGTCGAGTACATTCAGCTTCTCATAGACTTCGGGGCAGATGTGTGCTTACCCACACTCATCATCGACAAAACTACAAAACAGAATGAAGCTCTGCTGCTGCTGCTCAAGGCCAGAGGTGAGACTGATAAGACTCAGCATGAATCATGGTGAAATACCTAATTCTTATCACCCGCCAAAGAACACAATTATGTTTTTGCTTGTAGTTTTAGCAACATATCTCACTGAATGATTTTAATGAAACTTTCAGAAAGTTCTTACCAGTAGCCTTTTGGAGTCAAGCCCTTTCAAGATGGCCACCACAGTCAATACATAAATGGCCAGTTCTGCAGATATTGAACTGATGTTAGTGTGGTCTTATCAACAATACATACTGCACATCTGCACATGTTCGCACATCTGTTTAAAAACTCTGTTTTACAATTACCCACAGAACAGATTTTAAAGTGGACATATGTTTTTGAATTCTTTTTTCACATTTAAACCATTMAGTTATGGTCTATATAAAGTAGAAMTGCAACGCTTCGGTCTGAATTCCTTGTTATTGTAACTCTACAAGCCCCTCTTTCACCACTGTTCTGTAATGTGTCTGAGAGCAACTTGTTTTTGTGCTGTCTCTTTAAATGCCAATAAGTTGCTTCACACCCCTCCCCCTGCAGGTCTGTACATCACAGCCCACTCAAACCTGTTGCATCATTTTTGTAGTTTGATAGCAACCAAAACAATTATCTAGCGACGCATTGAGTTTTAATTTACAAATTAATTTAAAAATGTTGACAACGTAAGACTTGTCCATCCAGCCTTACTAGAGAAAGCCCGAACAGAATGAAAAATATGATCCAAACAGAAAATAAAGATATTTATGCAGCTTTTGGAGAGACTAAATTCAACATTTTTTCACTCCTAGAGACTCCAAGTACAACCCCAATTCCAATGAAGTTGGGGCATTGTGTAAAACATAAATAAAAACAGAATACGATGTTTTTTTCAATCTATTTTCAATTGAATCCACAACAAAGACAGACATTTCATGTTCAAATAGGTCAACTTTCTTTTCTTTTGCAAATATTCACTCATTTTGAACTAGAAGCCARCAGCACATTCCAAAAAAGCTGGGACAGGGGCAACAAAAGACTGGGAAAGTTGAGGAATGCTCCAAAAAATGGTTTGGAGCATTCCACAGGTGAACAGGTTGATTGGAAACAGGTGAGTGTCATGGTTGGGTATAAAGGGAGCATCCCTGAAAGGCTCAGTCATTCACAAGCAAGGTTCAGTAATGGATATTAGCACATGGGCTAAGGAACACTTCAGAAAAACATTGTCAGTGAACACAGTTCTTCTCTACATTTACAAGTGCAAGTTACAACTCTACCATGCAAAACCAAAGCCATATATCAACAACACCCAGATACGGGGGTATGTTAGTGCCCATGGCATGGGTAACTTACACATCTGTGAAGGCACCATTATGTTGAAAGGTACATACATGTTTTGGACCAACATATGCTGCCATWCAAGCCACAACATTTTCAGGGACGTCTCTGCTTATTTCAGCAAGACAATACCACATCACATTCTGCACGTGTTACAACAGAKTCTGRGTACTAGAGTGGCCTGCTAGCTGCCCAGACCTGTCTCCCATTGAAAATGCGTGGCACACTATCCGTCCATCATCTATACTCGCTTCTTCCTTTCAGGGTCATGGGGTCACTGCGCATTATGAAGTCTGTAACAGTCGGTTTGTGTATCACTGTTGTAGTACCTTTTTTTAGTGCCACACGATGGCGCCTCTTCTGTTTTAACATAGGATGTTGTGAATGCTAAGAGTTCAGAGCTAAAGCCTTGCTGTGTGAATGCACTTAGCTGCTCTGCTGCTCAACCTCGGTAATGAATGATGGTGAAGGATCATGGACTGTTATCTATATATTCATGTAATAATGTAGATTTAGTGCCGTGGAGACCTGGCTTTGTATGGTTTCAAGTTCTGTAATAAAGTAGTACATGTGGGAACCAAAAAGCTGTCGCTCTTTTCAGAGCTGCACCATAGCACATGGTTTATGCTAAGCTAGCTCTCCTCCTAYGAACGACCATCGCGCTACAAGTCCAAAATACAACAACGGAGACCCCAGTGTGTTGAGCAACCTTGTAGYGTATTCAGTTGAAAATAGGTTGAAAAGGATTTGCAAATTATTGTTTAGTTTTTTATGTCTAACACGTCCCAACTTCATTGGAATTAGAGTTGCACAAAAAACTGTATTTTAAAAACGTGGATTTTGCATATGTCCCCTTTAAATTTTTTTTTATAAAGTTATTATTAGCATACATCTCCAACACATTAACCGTGGAAGCCTACCTAATTTAAGACGGCCACTGCAGCTAATCCACTTTATTAGCCAACACAAAAATGGCTTTAATTCTTTACAGATATCGAGCTAAGTTGAACGTGCTTCAACCAATACTTCAAGCACTAACAGATCATGTAAACCTTTGGCATGAGAACATGCCATTTGCATGATTTGACCAAAGCTGATGTAACTACCCTTTCTTATCTTTAGGTGATCTTAGTTTAAAACTAGTTCTTTAATGAATGTTTCATCACTTCTTGTGCTTTTCAGTTTGTCCCAGAACCCTGATGTCACAGGCTCGACTGGCAATCCGAAAAGGCCTTCCTTTTGCCAACAAGGACTCTGCCATCGACAGTTTGAACATCCCACTGATCCTGAGGAGCTATTTGAAGCATCACACCGCTGAACTTGGGTGATGCTGAAGTTTGAATCTGGTGACTTGTGGACACATCGGACAGTTTTTTTTAAAAGCAGTGGAAAATCAGTGTTTAGACTCTGAGATCAAGTTTTCATGCAGACAATGCTCCATGAAGCTCAGTGTTTTTTTWACAAGTTGAACATGTAAACACCAAGACCTGCCACTAGAGACCAGAGTAACACCACACGACCATTTTCATCTCAACCGTCTCCTGAGCAGCTCTGCTCATCTGTTGATCCATTTTCCTAATATGTTTTTGTTTTTCCTCATCAGCTCCAGCTGCGTTTTCACAGGTGACTTGGCACAATCAGATTTCCTCCCACTTCATTCAAACACAACTGGAGAAACACATGCACACACAGGCTGTCTGCATCACACCGGGGTGTCTCAGATCTCGCCTGAAAGAAAAAAAAAGGGAAAATAAAACAAAACAAGCTTGCATCTTCAAAACATCAGGAAGCGGAGTGAACAGCTCTGCGCTATCGGCACGGCCAAGCGGGAGAACCGTTTTGCGTAACTCTCATCACTTATTCATCACAGCTGCAGCTCAAGGCGCAGGCTGCCATTTGTGAGCCCGGAGATTTATCGATTTCATTTTTTCATGACGCAACGATGCTATCTCGCCCRCCCTTTCATCTTCCCAGCCTTTTGTAAAATATCCTGGAGTTAATGTGTCAGCTGCTGGGAATGGCTGCTGCRAACAGGAAGTGATGTCACGTGACAGGAAACTCAGCACAATGCTCTTGACACGGCGTTCTGTAGAGGTTTTATTTTCAACAAAAAGTACAGCTATATCAGATATGGATTTATTTCTCTTTTTTTTTCATTTGTTTTTTTTCTTTACAGCGAAGTACAACATATTCCCAGTGCTTTTGAATACATCAAAACATAGAATGTACATACAGTTGACATCTCCACTCTCCCATTCACAGTTTCTGGATTGAATAGGCATTATTTTTCAGGTTTTTCATTTCTACAACAAATAAAAGACCGGCAAGAAAGAAAAGAAAAAATATATATCTATATATATATGTTTGCATATGGTGTTAAAGGATACTGTGAATAAATTTCTTTTTGTGACAGGAAATAAACAAAAAACATAAAAAAGCAGACCTCAAAACTAGATGATAATATACAATGAATAGTTTCCAAAAGGTGGGRTGTGAGTCTTCTGGATGTCATTTAAACCACATGAACATATGGCTCAGTGAAGACTGTTACCCTGCCTGTTCTGAAACAAGCCAAGAATCRGCCAGAAAATAAAACAAAAAGAAAGAAAGTCAGTCCTCTCAATTTTAGTTTTAGAAATTATATAAAAAATGCCATAATCAGGTTGTAAAATGATCAAAATCTGGCGTTAAATGTATAAAAACACAACAGATTCCACCATGTCRTAAATTATTTAACAAAAAGAAACCAGAATAGAAAAGCTGTGTGAAAAACTAACTTCATTCCATGATTCACAACAGTTTTGGCTCACTCCTTTGTTTTCTGTGGAATGGTTTTACCTTTTTGTAGTCAGACCACTGAGAGAGTCGAGACTTTTAAAATCCATGTTTAAAACTCATCTTTACTCCTGACTTTAGATTCTAGACATTTTTTATGTTTTACTCCTGTATTTTATATACATTTGATTTATTTTTGAACATTTCCGTGTTTCTTCTTATTCTATCCATTCATTTGACTGTATTTTAAGCTCTTTGGTCAACTTTCGTTGTTTTTTTGTGCTAAATAAATAAATTGACACTGATAACACTTCAATCAAGTTGGGGTCCGAACTTTGTTGTAGATCTGCTGCTGTGTTTGGGATCATTGTCTTTTTACATTTTCTTCCTTTTTTTTTAACCAGGCAACTCCGACTGAAATCACAGATCTCCGTTTCAAGGGAGGCCTGAGCCTGACCTAAACATGAATGTTTCTTGGATTGTGGGAGGAAACAGGAGTACACACAAACTCCACACAGAAAGACCCCAGGTTTGCGGTAACAGTGAGGTGTGACTGAGCCATCGTGCTGCCATCATACGTGCTGACTCAGCTTTAGTTGTTGTTGGGACAGCGTGACTCTGGACTACTTTGGATTCAGATCAGTTCGAGGTCGACTCAATGGTCAACCTGTGGCTGCAAAATGGGGGTGTAAATCAACATCTTTATCACGATACGATATTACATCGATATGTTTGGATGACGATTCGATATTTCTCGATATCACAAAGTCTCATGATTTCAATTCAATTCAATTCACGTCGGCGATCGATATAATGTGATATCATATGCCCATCTAACACAACTGTGTTGGGCATATGATATCTATTCCCATCAAGCAAATGATGACAATATAGATCAATATTTTCATTTTGCCTCGATATAACTGAATCATGAACCATTCAAATCGATATATCGATAAAGACCGATGTATCGTTAACACCCCTACTGCAAAATACACCTGAATCTGATCCTCACCCTACTCTACAGTGTTTGACAGATGCCACGAGGCATTTGTATTGATATGCTTGTATTTGGTGAAGTTTATCATGGGTAAACATTTCTACTTTGCTTTCCTCTCTCCAAAGAATACTGCTCCAAACATCTGTAATGTTTATTTAGAGAACATGATTCTATCTCCTGCCACTCGGTCTTTTTCTAATTATCTCGTCGTAAACTTTAACCTGCTAACAGAAAACTGTAGTCTGAGATGGAGCTCTTGAATTGTTATTATTTTGAAATATCTTTGGACATTGTATKGTCTGACCTTCGGGTGAATTTGCTAGGATCTCTGCTCCTGGAAAGAGGCAGGAACGATCTTTTTTCTCTGTAGAGAGATGGACTTAAAATAAGCTCGAAATGACCTTTAACTCATTGATATGCAACAAAAATGGCCTCTCTAAAGTCATTGCTGATGACTTCCTGCCTTGACATTGTGATAAAACAACACACCTGTACGCTCCAGAGCAGTAAACTGACAAAACTCCTGCTTTTGATCGCACACATTATTACCATTTAATTAGTACATTAGATCTGCAGCACCTGGCTTCCACTTTCTTTTTTTAAAATTATTCTTAAATCTCGTAAAAGCAACAAACATTTCCATTCTGGCTGTTTTTTATGCAAAAAAATATMATCTGTTGTGTGTTTTTGTGCACTTGAGATTGGATTTGAATCATTTTAAAACCCACTAAAGACCAGATCAGTTTAATCATGACTTAAAAAAAAAAAAAAAAAAAAACGAGGGAGGACATTCTTTTTATCATGACTGTAAATTAATTTTGGATATTGAACAAAAAAGGTAAGACATACATCTGAGCATCATTAAATGACAGTATGCTAACTTGGCTGTTTTGTTTCTATGAGCAGAAGAAAAAAAAAGACCTCTTAGCAATAAAGGATCCAACAAATAATTATATAAAGAAAAATAAACCCAATATACACATWATTTCAACACTTTGGCCCAAATGCAACAAATTAATACTGCTGTCAATAAATAGAAGAGTAAATTCCTTAAAGTCAAGTCACTGTACTTCGTCTCTTAAACAAGAGCATGATATGAATTTCAATGAAGTACTGCGTGGATTAGGGTTATTTTTAGCTCATCTAGAGAGGTTTTCAAATGTTCCCTGCTCTGCTGCTTGTGACTACAAATTTATAYACAAACACCCATCAGATCGCAACTAACTAACTCCTAATTTGGTTCAGTGTTGTTCGTCATAGAAAATTATACCCGTTTTGCCTCCGCGGATGATGGCACTCTGAAAGATAACCAGCAGTCTGCAGCAATGACAGTGTCAAGCAAAAAAGAAATTAAATATATTAATAAAAAGGGGGTGGGGCATTGGGAGAAGCAATGTTTTACATTTATGTTACAGTTTACAGTACCCATTTTATCTGGGAACAGAAGAGAACAGAAGAGTTTTACGTATCAAAGGTTTTGAGTCGGCAACTTTGCTGCTCTGAGTGGCAATAAATAAAAATAAAAACCAGACGTGAGCAAGGTACAGGTGGACAGAGAAAACAACTCCCTTCAGTGAGATGGCATGGGGGTTCACGAATGAATGGTTCCACGTTGTAAAGGGGGTGGGGGGGTGGGGGGGGGATAAACAAAACTAAAAAAAAGAAAGGATCTGGTAAAAGTTGCCTAAGTCTCATGCAAAATATTGGATGCCACAAGCATGCATTTACCTGGTACTCTGAGGTCTACCGCACGCTAGAACTGGAACAACATTCGTCTCCAACGCAAAATACCAATATCCAAATATATGATCTGTTCTTTGTACAGTATTTACAGTTTGTAGCTGATAAAGTTAAAATAGATGACTTCTTTTGATTTGTCACTCACTATTAATAATATACTTTTTTCAAGTGTGAAACCTAACCTAACTAACGGAAACGTCTCCTGCTAAATATCGAAATGAAAACCATCGTTCGGTAAGGTAAATAGGAACTTATWTTTTTTATGAGAATGACTTCTTGTGCAATTCGACTGCTGCGATGCGAGCGGGACGGGAGAAAAGAAGAAATGCGTTTAAAAAGTGTTTCAGTCAGACGGCACAGGTTGTACTCGTGGAGGGAGGGACGGGGAGCTAAAGGAGGCCTGACCTCTGAGCCGGTGTCCGAGTGGATGTCGCGCCAGGGAACAAGGGATTCCCGGATGAGAGCGAGCGAGCGAGAGCGGAAGCAATGCTCTGAAGGGAAAATACATGACTAATTCAAATCTGCCAGGGAAACTGAAAAGATAATCACTAGTGGAATGCTGGAAGGCACTGTTAGATAGCATCTCTCTCCTCTCCGCAGCAGAACGGGCCGGCAAAGTGGGCATGATTGTACGGCTTTGTGTGTGTGTGTGTGTTTCGCCTGCATGCTTGTGTCTGTATGTTGTGTTTGAAGGGGTGGTGCGGACAGTGAGGTGGGGGGTGGGGGTCGGGTCTAGCATGGGACCTGAGGTTTATCGTGGCCTGGGAACCAGATCTTTTTGCTTTGCCAGGCAAGAAAAACAGATTTATTGTCCAAAACAATCTCACCGGGAGCCATCTCTACAGACACCAGTAGCCAACTCACCCGTTTCTCAACTTCCTTTACTGAAACCAAACATAAATTACACAACATACAAAGCAAATATAAGGTTCTTTTTTTATCTCCAATAGGTTATAAGGCCTTTAAGAAGGCAAACAAATGACATAAAACAATATTTAACTCTTTCATATCACATTGTAGTGAATAGTGAAGATATATAATGATATATCACATTGCACAAGTTGTCATACTGTATATGCACTGTCCATCAGGTGATATAATTCAACACAAATAGTACTTCTGAGGTCAAAAATAAGGATTACATAGAGTGGACAGATGTTTCACTTACATTCCAAGAGTTGAAAAAATAAAAACCTTCATGATGAGTGTGTGTGTGTGGGGGGGTTTGTTTCTGGTGACATTTGGGGCAATTTTAAGACAAAACGCCTACCTTTGGAGACAACTGGTGCATTTGGGGACAAAAGTCAAGTCCCCGTTTGGTTTAAAYGCCATTGGTGGGTTGGGGGTTGGGTTTAGGACCAAGGTGTGAGTTTAGGTTAGTTTTAGGGTCAGGTAGGTACCTGTGAGGTTAGCCTTAGGGTTTGTGGTCAGGGTTAGGCTGTAGAAATGTAATGGAAGTCAATGGAATGTCCCCAAATGGATAGCTGTGCAAACGGCTATCCATTTGGGGACATTCCAGGTGTGTGTGTGTGTGTGTGTGTGTGTGTGTGTGTGTGTGTGTGTGTGTGTGTGTGTGTGT